TTGTGTTAAACAAATTCATCAGATTGATATATTTCCTTATTGAAGTCACACGTTTGTCACTGTTCCAACGAAAGACACGATGTGTCGACCAAGCTTATAGGTGTTTAGGTGAAAAGAAGATACGTCTACTAGTAGCTACACCCTCATTCAATATTGTTTGAGCACTCTCATGATGATCTTGATTTTTTGAATTCACTTAAGTATCTTCAATATGAAAACACATCAAGCCTCTCAAATAGAAGATATGCAAGTTGTCTTACTATTGAAATCTTAAGTTTTTGATAAATCAAGACACTTGTCATGATGTAGAATTGTCCAAATGTTTTATGTTCATTGAGAAAGGTTTTGAAAGTTTTATTATCGCTGTAGTTATTAAGCAATACACTTAAACGATTAGGTGAGTTCGAAAAAAATATAGACATGAAGTTTTCGTCTCGATTGGGTTTCAGAGTCAAAAGTCGATGAATACTAAAAGAAATAGATAATAATGGTTAGAGCTCTACGAAAAAACAATCAGCTAATTAAAAACGAGTAACAAAATCTAATCAAAGTTAGATATAGAAGAGAAAGTATAGTCATATACTGATGATCATTGAATGAAGATCACTTTCGACCAGTATATTGCACGCTTCGGCGTAGATTACGTTTTCTTTTTGTTTGAACTGGTGCAGGAGCAGGTACATCTTGGCAATTCCGCTTTTGAGTGCATGTCATTGGAATACCTGAGCAAACCTTTATGGGATAGCATACTATATCTCCATTAACGCTGTCAATTGATTGAAAAATCACCAAACCAACAACCATTACGAATAAAACAAATAAGTATGACAAGCGAGATGATACCATGATTGCTGATGTGCATATGAACTAAAATGAAGACACATATATGTACATCACTATAAAAAAAATGAATGTATAATATGTTCTGTTAAGCATCACTTTTTTTTACATAATCAGGAGGTAGTTGCTCGTTTTGAATGATTATTATGTACTGAGAATAGATATTCCCTCGACTGTCGGGAGGGTCATATGAAATAAAATGCATTTGTCTGCCTGCCTGTTTGTGGCAGGTCAAAAAAACATTTTTTTTTCAAAATTTTTTTTTAATGTAGAAACAGACATTTTTGAGAAAACTGCACTAATATTTCATTGATTGTTTTTCTCTAATCGATGAATGAATATGGTCGAGGGGAAAGGTCTAGAAAATTCCAGATACAATGGCACTACTAATCTAAGGAGCTTACTCAAATATTCACAGTAGCAACTATTGTACTTGATCTCACTTCTCTTGAAAAGATTTCTAAATTGGTATTGTCCAGCAATGAGTTTACAATGAATATTCTATCGGTTAATGAAGAAGAATATGTCTAAAAGTTTCATAATTCTCGTTCACCTAGCGTGTTGCACAAGGTGAAACATGTCCTTGTGGCAACTGGATTGGCGATGTTGTAAATATTCTGACTGTTCAAGGAAGATTAAAAAACAACACTCTTCGATCTATTTAATATCATTTCGTACGTGATATGCGTATGACTTGCCCATGATCAGTCACAAACTGTGCATGTTTCATTCACCATTGCATCACATCTTTGCAAAGTCTTATTATTAATTCTGTTCGTCGCTACACCTCCCAAATAGTAATCAAAATGATAATATGTCACATATTCCATTTTTTCATTCTTGTTAAATTTAACAACTTTTGTACATTTTGATTGTGCACAAACACTACGAGAATAATCAAAACTTACAGGTTATAGTTCCTATTGACGAATGTTCAATAGAACTTCTAATACATTTTCTGCTATTGATTTACATAGTTTCATAGTTAAATTACGAGATTTGTTTAAAATGGAAGTTTCGTCGACTTTGTGAGTTGGATATTTCCAAATATAATTCATCATACTTGCAGTTATTTTAACCGACCGGGTCCAGATTTTAAATAATTCACTTTTATCTTCATTATTAAATTGTATATCTTGTTTTAATATCGCAAGAAGTGAAATGATTCATTATCAAAACAAAAAATATTTAATTGAAAATCTACTAAAACACGAGATTATGTTTCTAAATCCTTCAACAGAGTTCTCAAAACTAACTATGTGTCACTCGGTTTATAAAATGTATCACAACAATTTGCAAAACAGATAGCAATTTTATCTATAGTTCTTTTATGGAAGTTCGTCAATAGTACTTTCATGCAGAATCAAAATTCCGAATATAGCTTTGAATTGTTAAGTTTCAATAGACTACATATACCATTTAAATGATAGTAGTTAGATATGTATAAGAGTGTATTTTGAAAAATCTGTTTGTTAATTTCAATGCTACGCATATCATTAATTCCAGATGTATCATTTATTCTTAAAGGAAAATCTTCGACATGAAAAATGTGTGCTTTTGAATATTTTTGTAGATAATTGAATACCCACAGCATCCTCATTACCTTTGTTGATGATTTTTATTGTACGTTTCATACAATTATCATCAGTAAAAGTGCATTATGTAAAAATTTCTATCAAAATTTTGTCACTATCTACTTCTTCAACTGAAGAATAGCTTAAATCATTAATAAGTACATTGATAAATGCCGATATTCCACATATATTGCACCAAGTAGTAAGATGTTTACTTCATTTTTTCTATCTTTATTTGGTAAATAGCGTTCAAAGCAGGCGTGCACCGAACTCAAACGTTCGGGTTCCGTGAGTTCGGGTTCAATCTTCACTGTAGTCATTTTCAGTTAGTTAAATAAAAAGAATCAGATGCCACCAAAAAGCAAAAGGATTCCGGGCTTCGCAACGACAGATCTCAAAGAATAGAATAACTGATCCAAAAGTTGAAGATCCAAAAACATCCTAAAAGTAAACCATCTTGAGAAACACTGTATTCTGAACCAAAACTTAGCTACAGTTAAGGCTGCTTTCATGATTCTTCATATATCTCAAGCACTGCTTAAGTAATTATCCAAGTAATAGACATGAAACGAAGCTGAAATCTGGGGATCGGTACTTTAGCTCATGTTGGTATGGAAGTTTGTCGTAACTCTAGAGATCCGTTTGGGATTTGCTATGAGTTTGGCTGAATAGTTGATTGATATGCTCATAACAAAAACTGTTCAATTATAGTGAAAAATTCTATATTTTATTATTTCTACTCCATCCTATTTCAAATTAGTGCAACCAGTCAAACTGACTTGATTGTTTCATACACATTTGTGGTTCATTCATGCCAAAGCTCTGAATAATTTTCTTGAATCTGTCAGTTTAATTCTGATGCAACTATCTTAGTAGGATAAAAGTCGACAGAACTGACTCAGAATTCTATACTTTTCGTTGGATTATAATATCGACTAATATATTCTTCAAAAGCATTTTGAACGATTTTAAAATTTGTTATGCAATAGTGTTGACTGCTATATCAAGAAAATTGTTTTAGAACGAACAATGCCTAAACAAGGCTTTGGGTGTAGTGAGTGTGGATATGGCCAGCAACCATAAAAGATACGATCAAAAATTCAAAACATCCCAAGGTGTTTCGTTCTAGCTCAGCGTACTGATTGAGCAAAGCCTAGAATTTATTATTACATAACGAATATATCTGTGAGAATTCAAAATTTTGATGGGCATACTAAAATTCAGTCAAGTTTGACTCTGTCTCTATATTGTTACGCTCCTCCAAAGTAATTGTTTGATTCTTTTTTTTTAATTAGTTTATATTAGTCGATGGAGGAATGTTCAATTTCTCTGAGAAAGAAAAAAATTTCTATGATACACATAGCTCAAGTTATAAGTAAAACTTTAAAAGCTTTTTTCCAGCGCAATTAGGAAACTTGACTCTAGTAATTTAAAAATTTTTTTCCAAAATAAAAAAATCATCTGTTAATGTTTTTGAAACATTATATTTTTTACATCGACAGAAACTTATAGACAAACACGCTACTTTCTTAACACTCTTTTTCTTTCTAAATAGTTTTTCAAAAGAAAACTAATTATCTTTCTTACGCAAATCCTCACATGAAATCTATGCCTTTTGCTTAATGGAAATAATATACATAATGACGCAGTCTTCTAATATAGCACTGATGAATACAGAACTATCTCATATTTGCTTACTAATGAGTAGTACTATCGCAAAAGCAAAGCAATATTTTTGCAGTGTAAATTTTTCTTCCTTCACTTGTTACACACTGTAATTAATATAAAATTGAGTTGCTAAAGTAACATTCTATTACATATATAGAAGACAGCGTAAATGTGGAAAAGAATATAATGTCATCAAACAATACTTCTACGTCAGCTATTGTTCAACTTTATCTGATTGGTCAATACATGAATATTGGATTTGGTTTCACCTTACTCATCGGTGGTATTTTCGGAAATCTACTCAACGTTGCCGTATTCCTCACATTGGGTAATTACCAACACAATGCCTGTTCACTTGTCATGCTTGCTCAATCTTTCTTCAATCTAAATCTTCTAATTGTTGGTGTTGGCACTCGAGTTCTCAGCCAAGGTTTTCAAATAGATTTCACGTTGTCAAACAGAATTTGGTGCAAACTTCGCGCTTCTATCGTTGATATCAATGTTCTTAGTTCACTCAGTTGTTTTTGTCTACAATCTATCGATGCATTTTTCTGCACCTCGCGATCTGCTCTCTGGCGACAGAGGAGTAATGTTCGAACAGCTCGGTTTTTCTTGATCGGATGTGTATTCTTTTGGAGTATCCATCAATTGCCCTATTTATTTCTACAAGATCTTGTGAATGTTAACGGCAAGCTTGCGTGTGTAACAACAAATGCTGTGTACACTCAATATCGCACCTACTTCTTGAATTTTGTACTTTATCTAACGTTTCCCGTTTCAGTAAGCAGTACATTTGCAATTCTCACTTATCGACGCCTGCAATCATTAAACATACACGAACGACGTGCACTTTCTGTTCTCACAAAACAGATGGCGCGAATGGCTTTATGTCAAATAGTGATTGTGTTGTTGTTCATGATGCCATATGGTATTGCAACAGCATATTTCGTTCGTTCAGCAGGCACTGTCAAGAATGCTTATCGTACATCTCAAGAACAAGTAGCTCAACTGTTTTTTCTCCTTTATGGTTATGGTACATATGCGGTGAGTAACATAGGTGTTTTCGATTTATAATTTGTTCTGATTGTATTTTCAGAGCTCATTCTACTGTTATTATGCAGCTTCGAAAGCATTTCGTAAGCAAGTCTTCGATATAATCAAACAGTTAATACTGAATAAATGGAGAAGAAATCAAATTATACCATTAATTCAAATGAATCCTTCACCTACTATTCAACAATAGACAGTCCAATCATGAGAAATTCGCGAATTTGAATATTCCCATGTATCATATAATGGAACTTCAAATCTTTTCAATGATATATCGTTTTTCCTAAGAAAACAAGTTTTGCTTACGTTTTTGATATTCATGGGATAGTAAACGCACTTTGGAGTACTTTTTAGTACATTGACGTACTTCAGTGTGTTTCTTCATATTTTTATACCTCTGTAAGGTAAAGTGTCTACTAGTCTTCAGATTATACTAACTAAAAAATAGGAGTTGCGTAATCAGTCGCCGTACCATATAGAGCACTATAGGAATCTCTCACAGAACTTTCTAACAATATAAAAATCATATATTCTAGTGTTAAATAATACATTTTTTTAAAAACAACCATTGATAAACAAGGTATGAGTATGGTTGTGGGAGTTGCTGTAGATGTAGATGTTAAAATGCTTATGAGTTTGAGTATAAAAAATAAACCGTATCAAATTAGGCCCACAATCAACGCATAACCTAACACCCACACCCTCCATGAGAATCTGAATGGGTGTGGCTATAGTTGTAATTGTATGTGTGCGTACGGAAGAAGTGAGAGCCCACACGCACATTTACACAATTAATAGAAAACAGTCAACTAATTCAAGTTTTCTATCTATTTGAGAGACACTGATCATGATCTGATAATGAACTGATGTAATTTTCTCTATTGTTCCGTTATGCAGAGGCGAATGTGTAAAATTTTGAAAATAACTATCAATCATCAATTGTTTTTCCGGCAAACTTGACATGAGTAAAAGCAATTTATACATCATCACAATGGAAAAAAAAATTCAAAAAGAGCATAGTTCTCAAATGTCTAAATGAATTATTTGACATAAACATTCGAGCTGAAAATTTCCTAAGAAAAAAAGTTTATTTGATGTACTCTTAATAGTACTAGACAAGCATGTAGATGCTTATCATGTGATAGTATCAATATAACTTATTGCTGCAGATAGTAGTTTGTTGGTTGACTTAGGATTGATAAAACCAAACTGTTTTTTTTTTCTTTGACTGAAGTAGGTAAATATATGCTCGTTTTATTAAATGTTTCGTATTGATTGGTTCACCGAACCCTATCAACAAAAATTGGCTTCGAAAGAAGATTAAAACATCACATTTTCACATCTTCGTAGCCTACTACTAGCTCATTTCAACATATCGATGAAACTTCTCTGTAGAATTTTATTATATGTGATAAAATTTTATGCAGAATGAATTCTTTCTGACAACACATTGAATAGTAATGTGAGCCATTATAGTCAATTTATTACATAGCTAGTTAGAACTGAAATCATATCATGAATCATGTTGACAATATTGAATGATTTTATAATTGATTGTAAACGAAGCCATTTTTGTCTATATTCAGATTATAAATGTTTTTATTGCGATACATCCGAGTTGTTGAAGGTACTCAAATTTGTTTTTGTTTAATGAAAAATCATTTTACTCATGTGTTCCGTTTTGTTGTCAACGATATATTTCTATCTATGTGATTATTTCTGTGAACATATCTTGTTTGTCTATGATATATCATTGTACCATTTTTCCAACCTAGCGTTCATCAGATAAGAAACAGGAAAAGTGATATCTATATATTTTTTTTCTCCTATTTTGTTCTATTTTTTAGAGGAAACCTACAATAAAAAGAATTCTAAATTCAATAGTTAAACTCGTATATTTTGACATAGAAAAATTTATTATTGGGAATTTACTAAAGGAAGATTGAAGGGTGTTCTTATCTAGATAAATTGAAATACTTCATTGTATATGTATCATTTAAACGATTTTTTGTAACAGTTCAATAAAATGTTTTGTTAGAATAACTCAAGAGACGCATAAATCTCTTTGAAATGAAAGCATATGTTGAAAGTCAAACTTGAGGTTTACATTCGTTACATTTTTAATATTTCAGCACGCTGTTCTCCAAGAAGAGGATAGGCCCTGATCAGCAGAAGGGGCAGTTGGTTCAAAGTATGATTCATGTATCGAAAAGACGATGAAAGAAAAGCTAGAAGTATCATATTACTACCTACAACTTGCTCGAAAGTGGTTACTTAATGATACGACGTGTGTTTTGAAATCGACTCGTACCTACTTAATTTATTTTATTTAAGCTGTATCAATTTGATTGAACCTAAACGAGAGTGCAGAATAATTGCATTTTACATGCCAAAAGAAAGGTGTGGGTGTGTATTATGTTAATGAGGGTCTTTTTTTAAAAGCCCACATCCATCCTTTAATATACACCGCGTACAGTACATAGTCGATACGAAGTTGTCTATTACTTCAATTTTCGGTACTAATGAATCACCATCAGGAGACATTTTGAGTTTATTGATAAGTGTTTTTCTTTCACTTTTTGGGTGTGGGTGTTGGTGTAGGTGTGAGTGTGGGTATGGGTGTGGGTGGGAATGGGAGTATTGCTCTCTTTCTACTCATACCCACACCCACACCCACACCCCACCCTTTCAGTATCACTCAGGAAAAAAATTCATTAGAAGAAGGAAAACGAACAAATGATATATGGGAAAATGCGCGAAATCTTAGGGAACAAGAATATATAGTCAGAATTAATTTTCGTCCAAATAATGATAAAAAAGTTAAGACCACAATATTTGGTAATTTTTCCGAGTTTTATGCTGTTTTCGAGTTTTTTCATTTTCCTGCTCTACTTGTGACTTCTATATCTTTCTGAAGGAACGTCTGTTTAAGCTAATTTTTTTTCCATAACAACAAGTCATTATGTTCTACAAGATAAGGACAAATTCGGTCAATTTCAAGAACCCTTGTGTTTTCGTGGGAGAAATTCCATGGAACAGGCCATATGCATCCGAATGCGCACCCAAACCCACCCACACCCACACCCACACCAACACCAACACCCCACACCGACCCACACCCCACACCATACACCCACATCCACACGCACACCCCGACTCCGACTCCGTTGGAGTCGGAGTCGGAATCGGATTTCGG